ATATACCCCCCGAGTTTATATATATATATATATATATATATATATATATATATATATATATATATATATATATATATATATATATATATATATATATATATATATATATATATATATATATATATATATATATATCGCGCTAGAAACGGCCCTCAACTTTGTAATAGGGAGTTTACGAATGTAGTACGGGGACGTCAGGACGACGGCTATCAATACAATAACATTAATCTTATACCACAAAAGAAATGAATAATTAAAAGTCTAGCAGGGGTTTTAGACATCACGTCTTGTACAGTACGCCAGCATTTCACGCCGTGACAGGTAGTTTTTCTAGTTTTCAGCTCTGTTTTACTCGTTCGAAACTATTTTAAATTCAAACGAAAGTAAATAAAAGACCAGATTTCCATACAATCATTTATTTCAAACAGTTTATTTAGCCGTCGTCCTGACGTCGCCGTCTTGCATTCGTAAACTTCCTAATATTCCAGTGGCGAAGCCAACTCAAGTGACTTGGTCGCGCCAAAGGCGTGAGCCACCTAGGGTGGTTAACAGTTAGAACCCGCAAATGCCATTTCCTGCGATTTAGTTATTGATTTATGAGCTCCAGTTTGACCTCAAAGAGACCTTACGATTTTAGGACGGCAACGCGACGGCTACGACTACCAATACAATAGATCATTGAAAAGAATTGAGTAATTGCAATAAATGAATAATTTAGACATCGTCCTCGCTCTGTTTACAACGCCAAATCACAGATTTTCACGTCTTGATACATCGGCTGCATTCCAAGCCACAACAAGTGCAACTTCAGACCGAGTTGAGCAGAACTCTTCCCAAACATAAAACCCATGTCTTCAACTTCTAATACTGTATTAAATTCATACGATTGATAATATACGACGAACTATCTTTTCTACCATTTATGTCAAGGAGCTTGTTTTGGCCGTCGTCGTCGCGTTGCCGTCCGGCCTAAAATCGTAAGGTCTCTAATATCAAGGAGGGGCAAAACCGTGGGAAATGCATCATTATTTCTGCCCCAAACGACAATTTGATGAATTATCACACGAAGGTAAAAAGTCGTTGAACCCAACTACAATTCTATTGTCACCTGGGAGGTAAATACGAGATAAAATGTTTTAAAATAGATTGTCTAGAGATTTTTAGTATGAAAAGGTACGGATTTTTGTGGCGAATCCAATGGTGTTCTCCAATTCCGCTAGATTCCTGTAGTAGGATAATAAGTGTTTTTATGGGATAATGAAGGGCTATTATATTATCTTCGCCCGGTTTGTGAGTGAAAAAGGGAAACTAGGGTGTCTTACATATAATTTAAAGTAGACTAGAATGGTGCTTTCAAAATTTCCATTTAATGTGCACGCAAAACTGTGCTCACCATACGACGCGACCATAATTTTCGGTATATTTAACAATTATTCGCCGAAGGCGAGGTGATTATCGGTGAATAAAAACCGAGACGAAGTCGAGGTTTTTATTCACGATAATCACCGAGCCTGAGGTGAATAATTGTTTTAGTATAATTTCATAGGTGATTATATGGAAAAAAATTAAAAAATACACATTTCTTCGTCATTTAATTGACAAAAAGGCTTTGGCCGCCATTTTGAAAATCGCTTAGGTGATTATCACGTAATAATCACCTCAACGGCAACCAATCAGCGTGGAGAATTTTCAATAATCACCTATGTAATTATACTAATATATATTAGTATTTTTGCACAAGTGAATATAACAAATACCACAACCTGATTGGTCAAATTTGACGTATTAAGATGTTATATTCACCTACAGTTGAATAAAACCGAAATTTACAAAATGGCGGCTAGCCATTTTGTGGACGTTTGCCGCGATAAAGAAATAAGAGAAATTAAAATAAATTCAGTACCAAATAACACAAAAGACTTCATGAGGCCTACTCTGGGACCTTAACTCGCCGCGAGATAAAGCGAGCCTATGCGAGTTAAGGCGAGATAGGGCGAGTTAAAGAAAAATCTGGCTACTGACCCTTGCGAGTTAAGGCGAGATAAGGCGAGTTAAGGAAAAATCTGGATATTGTATACACACTATGTAGCCTATTTTGCATTGTTTGCGCATTATGCTAGCGAGTATGCAGTACTTGAAGTAGCAGGCCTAAAAAGGGTTTTATTCTATATTCTACAATACATACATGATATGCACAATAACTCGGGACCTGGAAACGAGTTCCATCAAAACGAGGCTTGTAGCCAGATGCCAAATTGTATAATTTGAGGCATTATGCATAGTGTGTATAGAACTGCATTGTTTCCTAAAGCCCGGTTTGTTATGTTTATGGGACACACGCCATGTTATGTAATCAAGACGATATATATTTACTCCCAAGATGCTTTGCAGCATCTGCATACGTTACATCTCCCTTTCTTATAATAAACTTGCTAATATAAATCAACGACCTAAATATCAACTACACTTATAGCTATTCAGTTTTTTGTTTTTAACTGTTCGCAACTTATTAACTGTCACTTGTTATGATACTTTAAAGGTATAGTTACCGTGTTTTTTTGTTGTTTTTTTAATTGTTTGTCAAGTACTTGGGTGGTTTACTTGCACGTCCAGATCTTTGTTATCACAGGATTGTGTTGCGAGTCGATGATACCATGGCTGGACTGTCCAAATGCATTCTTGGCTGTGGCTCTTGCTTTGTCACTGCTCACGCTTGGCTCTTTGGTGTTTGAATGTTTAACATCACTCTTCTGTTTTTTTCTCTGATAGTTTACTGGAACGCAGGTGACGGCGGCTTCTTCGATACTTTTGTCTTTGTTCATTTTCAATGACATATGATCTTGGTGACTGGTGCTTTGTAGAACTTTCGCTTTAATCCATTTCTCTCCATGTTTCATTTGTACTGTCTCTCCTGGTGGAAGTGGTGGTAATTCTTTTCCTGCGTGCTTGTCATAGTATTCCTTTTGTTTCTCCTTCTGTTTCTTCAGAACTCGCTGAACTTCATCGGATGCTCGTGATTTCAGAAGTGGCGCTGTTGTTGCGAGACTGGTTTTTAGTCTGCGACCCATCATTATTTGTGCTGGAGACTGGTTTATTTCTTCCAATGGGGTGTTTCGATAGTTCATCAATGCCTTGTATGGATCTTTGGCTTTGGTGAGAAGACCCTTCACGGCCTGCACGGCTCTCTCTGCCTCGCCGTTTGCTTGCTGGTAATGAGGACTTGATGTGATGTGAGTGAACCCATATTTCTTAGAAAACTCTGCGAATTCTGCGCTTATGAATTGGGGACCATTATCACTCACTAACTGATCTGGTATACCATATCTGGAAAACTGACTTTGGAGGTAAGTGATGGTGTTCTTGCTGCTTTGGTTATGCATTTTGCCAATTTCAATCCACTTCGAGTGGTAGTCAACACTTAATAGGTAATGTGTCTTGTTATGTTCAAATAGATCCACACCAATTTTCGCCCAGGGGCGGTCAGGGATCTTGCTAGTTATCATGGGCTCTCTTGCTTGGGCTTTCTGGTATTGACAACAAACTTGACACTTGGACACTTTATCCTCGATTTGGCTTGTCACTCCCGGCCAGACGGGCCAGTAGAGGAGGTCTCTTGCACGTTGTTTGCATTTCACGATCCCTTGATGTTATCTATGTATGATGTCTAGCATCTGTGGTCGAAAGGACTTCGGAACAATTAATTTGTTTCCCTTGAAGAGGAGGCCATCAACACAGGAAATTTCATCTTTACATGTCCAGTACGGCTTGATCTCTATTTGTGCATTAGCTTTGTTCTTTGGCCATCCCTCGAGAACTGCATCTTATACTGCTTGCATTACAACATCATCAGCAGTGGCTTTCTGGAATTCTTGGTACCCCTCAGGTGATACTGGTAAGTTGGCTGTAAGGTGGACTTCGATTACTTCGAGTTCTTGTACCAGTGTTTCTTTCGTCTCATCTAGGTAATTTCTGCTTAGGGAATCAGCAATGAACAACTCTTTGCCAGGCTTGTAGACAATTTTTAACTCATATCTTTGCAGGGCTAACAGCATCTTCTGTAGACGAAGTGGTGCTTGGTGCAGAGGCTTATTGAATATATATTCCAGTGGTTTGTGGTCTGATGTGACAAGTACTTCTTTTCTAAACAGGAACTGGTGAAACTTGATTGTTCCAAATACAATAGCCAAAGTCTCTTTCTCGATTTGGGCATATTTTTGCTGTGTTGGTGTTAACGCTCTGGAGGCATATGCAATTGTTTTTTCTTCTTGATAAAGCACTGCTCCAAGTCCTTTCGAACTGGCATCTACAGATAAGGTAACAGGTTTCTTGGGATCATAATAACTTAGCACTGGGGAACTGGTTGCCATTCTCTTCAGTTGTTGAAAACTATCTTCTTGTTGCTTTTCCAAATGCCATGCTGTGTTCCTTTCCAACAACTTTCGAAGTGGTGCACTGACTTCGGCCATATTGGGTAAAAACCTTGCGAAATATTGGATAAACCCAAGAAATTATTTTAACTCTCTCGCGTTGGATGGTTTGGCCATGGCTTGTACAGCTCTTATTTTCTCGGGATCTGGCTTGAGATCGTCCTTGGTTAAAAGATGACCAACATACGCAATTTCTTCTTTTCTGATTTGGCACTTCTTCTGGTTTAGCTTTAGGTTGACTTCTTGGACTCGGTCGAGGATTTTCTTCAACCTTGCATCATGTTCCGGGATATCTTTTCCCCATACCAAGATGTCATCTACTATTGCTTCAGCACCATCAATATCTTCCAACACCTGTGACATTTCCTTTTTGAAAACCTCTGGGGCGGATTTAATTCCAAATGGTAGTCGTGTGAAGCGGTATCTTCCAAACGGTGTGTTGAAAGTGCATAGTTTGGAACTCTCTTCATTCAATTTCATTTTCCAATATCCTGAGGTGGCGTCTAACACGGAGAATACTTTTGCTTCTGGCATTCTAGCTACAACTTCTTCAATCGTTTTCATTGGATAATGTTCTCTTTTTATTGCTCGTTTTAGATCTCTTGGATCAATGCACACTCGGATTTTATTACTGTAACCATGCTGTTGACCCAATCTGTGGGTTCTGGTTGCTTGACGATAACACCAGCATCTTCCATCCTCTGTAATTCAGCTTTGATCTGCTCTTTCTAGGCTAACGGGACTCTCCTTGGTGGGTGGACAGCAGGGGTATATGAACGATCAATTTCAATGGTATGTTCACCAGGCAAACATCCAAAACCAGTAAACAACTCATTGTATCCTTTCAATAATTCATGTTGTTGGGTTGGGTTGAATTTTGGTGGCGAGAAGGGATCTGCATTGTGATGATCTTGTGACTTCTAGGTCTCCACTGCATGTACTCTTTCTACTAGACCCATTTCTTTGCACGTGTTGGCACTGAATACTGGTGGTGCTGGAATATCAACAACATGGAACTTTACTCCGTATGTTTTTCTTTTGTACTCACATGGTAAAATAGTTACTCCTTTCGTGGTGATGACATGACCAGAGTATGACTTGAGCTTGCTTCTGGTTTCTTTATATTTGTGTTGATTCCAAGACGTTGAAGATCTTTGATGGAAATTACATTACACCTTGCACCTGTATCGAGCTGAACATTTACAGTTTTTTCCGCAATTTTTACATCTTCATACCATTCATTCTTGTTTATGGCATCTGTAGTTCCCACAAAACCAACATATAGTTCACTGTCACTCTCTTCAGACTCTTCTTCTTCAACTCCATGTGCTTGCCTTTTTCTATCCTTGACTTTGAACTTCGATTTGCACATTCTTGCAAAATGGTTAAGCTTTTTGCATTTTGCATATGTCTTTTCTTCTGCTGGACATTTATTTTGGTCATGTTTTATAGCACACTTGCTGCAGTGTTGTTTATAAGTATAACCGTCTCTGGTGTTCGTCGTTTGTCATCTTTATATTGGAATTTTCTCTCTCGTTTGTCTCTGAGGTTGTGTACATTGTTATCTTGTTACAAGTGCCATTCTTTGAAGCTGGGTGTTTGACATTTCTTGTGTTCGAGCGATATCAACTGCCTTTTCCAAGGTTAGTTCAGATCCTTCTTGTATTAATTTCTCTCGTACTTTTTGCGAATAACAACCGATTACTACCCGATCTCGAACCATTTCGTCTGGGTCTTTGTATCCACAATCTTTAACTTCGATCTTGAGTTTAGTTAAGAACTGTTCGAATGGCTGATTTTCTTGCTGTACTATATTATGAAACTTGTAACGAGCAAAAATATTATTTGATTTGGGCTTTACATACGCTTCGAATCATTCGTAGTAAGTAGTGAGATTTTTCGATTCTTCGCCTATTGAATTCCATGCGGTATTATATACATCTCGGCCTTTCTCTCCAACCCATATCTTCAGATAATTGCATCTTTGTTCTTCGGATTTGCCTTTTAGTGGCCCACCAAAAGCAAATTCACAATGTTGTTGAAACGATTTCCATGCTGCTGGCAAGTCACCGCTCGACCAGTTCATTTTTGGCATATTTGAGGCTGGAGACGCTTCCATTTTGGTTTACACTTGTTGTCGGACTTTATTCCTTGTATTTCTATGTTTTTTTTTATCGGATGGCTATCTTTTCAAGCTCTATTTAGTGGATTTATCCTGACACCATGTTATGTTTATGGGACACACGCCATGATATGTAATCAAGACGATATATGTTTACTCCCAAGATGCTTTGCAGCATCTGCATACATTACACCGTTTACACTACGCTCAAGTTTTGGTACGGCACGGATAAAATTGCTACCCGTACCCCTTTTTTGGCTTTTGATCTACCTATTTGGTTCTTGGACTACCTATTTAGGTAGTCCAAGAACCAAAAAAGTGGTACGGGTGCCAATTTTATCCGTGCCGTACCAAAAATTGAGCGTAGTGTAAACGGGGCTTATATCTTCACAGTTTCAGTTGCTAACTTGCTATGGCTAGCTTCATCACAGATTTTGTAATTTTTGGCTGTTTTCATGAATCATGACATTATCAATTAATATTAAAGTTAGGTTCGAATTTGTTTGCAAGCAGCAGTCCTTCTATTCAATTTTTAATTTAATTCAATATATAAACATTGATATGAAACAAAGAGAAACTAAAAAGCTTGCTAGGAAATTATAGATTATTTACTATTAAATTTAGTACTTTAATTAAATTAATAACTATTTTTAACGAAATTTCGAACCACAATGATATAAATGATAACCAACGGTCATAACACTAGAATTAATGCCCATCTTACTTGCTTTGGAAACGTAAATGAATGTAAATGACAATGATTCCTCTGAACAAAACTGTATTATTATTTATATTCTATTTCCTATCAAGCTTTTATATTCAGAATTCACTGCCTCTCATTAACAATAACACTAAGTATTGTAAGCAGATTAGAATTTTTCCGCTGAAGGGAGCAACATTTTCAATATCTGCTCGCAGACAGCATCCCGCCCCCTGGTAAACGGAATCTTCCTTCCACCTTCGCAGTACTTCCTCTGTGGTCGGGGGGGGGGGGAGTCTACGTAGTCTATAAGTCAGAATAAATTCGATTCCACAAACTCAATATGGCGGGATATGCAACAACATTTTAAAGTTTTTTATCGTGTATTACGATATTAAAACGAGATCCAAAAAGCCTTGTCACTACAGATGGTTTCTACAAAATTTAATGTTGGTCAGACAAGCACGGTATGTTTACTACAAAATTTACCTTTAACTTTGCATTTACTGTAAATCTATATTTTCATGATCAGTTCATATTTTGTGAATGTGATTGTGTATTAAAATATTTCTCCTGAAATTCTGCGCGTATCGTTGGTTCAGTAGTTCTGTTGCCGGTTGTATATAAAAACAGTTCAATCAATAACTTTGCAGTTTGAGCTGTTGATATCATAGTGACCTTACTACAAGTATAATAAAATTATAGTATTTTAGTAAAGTTTGATAGTCAATGCTAAGAAACATTACAAATTAGATGTTCCTTGAACATTTTAGAATTTTTAACTCATATAGATTAGTACATTTAAGTATATGATATATAGTATATATTAACAATTTCTAAATTGCATTGTAATATAGAATTTTTTACTATTTATAACCTTGTAACACTTAACGTCATGTAATTCAGTCTTCTGACTGCCAGATGATGTTTTTATTAAACAAACTATTCATTCATTCATTCATTATATATATATATATATATATATATATATATATATATATATATATATATATATATATATATATATATATATATATATATATAATTCAATTTGTTTTGGTTGCCTAGATATATAAAGTGCTCAATACTAAAAGTATAGCAGAGCTTATTAGATTGTCTATATCTTAAAATTAAATATCGCTACTCTGAGTTTCACGTCCTATATATATATATATATATATATATATATATATATATATATATATATATATATATATATATATATATATATATTGATTTTCAACCATACTTGGCAGTTGGGTTCTATGAGACACACAATATTCAATTATTTTCACTGTGATTTATTCAATACTGGGTATTACTGTACATGTATATGCTTGCTAAGCCCTGCTTATTAAAGTACAGTAGTTGGGGGTATTTGATCAATACTACCTTATGGTATTACATAGAATGTAGTAAATTAAAAATATGATAACATTTCAGATAATCAGGCTTACATATATGTATGTTGATGTCAGTGCAATGCCTAACACATAGAATATAGTGAGTATTGTGAGTCTAAAGAATTTTGATTGACAGTATTTGTGTTTTACTGTGGTGAAACTATGCCGGTTTTTATTGCAAAATAGGGCGAGCTTAGGCGAGTTAAGCAAAATTCTGTCAACTCTCATTGCGAGATAAGGCGAGATTGGGCGAGTTAAGCAAAATTTGATCAATTTCTATTGCGAGATAGGGCGAGTTAAGGTGGGTTAGGGCGAGTTAAGGCCAGAGTTAACGCCAGAGTTGTATGTCGTCAGCTTGGTTATCTGAATAAATATGGTGTTAGAGCTTTTCTAGGAAGGGATATCCCTGATGGTACTGGACCGATATGGTTATACGATGTTGATTGTATTGGAAATGAGTTAAACTTGACCAGTTGTTCTCACAGTGGATGGGGGAATAAACATTGCAAGCACAGTGAAGACGCAGGAATAGAATGTTCTTCAACAAGTAAATCATTATACTGTTTTCGACCACTCGTAAAAAAACTCATCATTTACATATTGACTCCTGGCCGGTGCGACATAAATCCTTTTATAAAAAGGATGGCGCTGCGGGTTGCATGCCGATTAAATCAAGCAGTTTTGGATATTCGATTCTGTAATATTATTCAGATGGCAGGTTGAGTAAGGCTTTCATGAAGTACATTTTCTTTTATATAACCAATAACAATACATTGAAGCTATGATATGATTACATTTTACTGTATTCTAAAGACGTTTTCTATGGTAAAACTCTTAAAAAACGTTTTCAAATCAGTGAAACACGTTTATAAAAATCTCAAAACAATGTGTGTCAATTATGCAGGAGTCACGGCAGGCAGCATGCTACATTGACCAGGTAAACATGCCGTGTTGGCAACGAAAAAAGTTACCGGAGATTTAGTAAACAAGCGCTTCCCATGTAGCTGCATGGACTGGATCGACTGTAGTAATTCGTAGTGCAAACCAAGTCCGTTTAGTACCTATACTTTATGTAGCAGCACAATACAAAACGCTATTGCCGTATAATCTAGTCAGAACGTCACATTTTCTTCATCGTCATCGTTTATGCACGACTACATGCCCATATTAAGGTATTCCAGCGCATGCAACATTTTTCGTACACAATATTTCACGTGATCTTGGACACTTTTCGAACTCTTCTTACCCTTGCAAAATGTGTTCCATCTTTTTTATCAACATAGAGTATTTGGCAATGCCTGTAATGGCTGTATTTGTCTGACAGCTAGCCAACCATGCGTGATGTTATGCGCCATCAATGAAATGTGACCGAAAATTATATCTCACTCGTCAGCTGTTCTTCGCTTTAATTTGATTTATTATTTTTACAGCTGCACCCCTCAGATTGCAAGGGCCTTTAAGTGAAAATGGGACTGGCCGTGTGGAAGTATTCTATAGTGGGGAGTGGGGAACAATCTGTGACGATAGTTGGGATATTGACGATGCAAAAGTTGTATGTCATCAGCTTGGTTATACATATGCTGTTAGAGCTCTTGCAGGCAGCTATGTTTCTGATGGTTCTGGGCGGATATGGTTAGATGATGTCAGATGTAATGGGAGTGAACAAAGTCTGACCAATTGTTCTCATAACGGATGGGGAAGTGAAAATTGCGGGCATGATGAAGACGCAGGAGTAGAATGTTCTTCAAGAGGTAGTATCATCATTTTTGTTTTATGAAAGAACTGTGCATGGTAAACATCAAGCACATGACTCCTGTTAACACATAACTTACGACTAAAAAATGTAAACCGCTCGCCGAAAAAAATCATTATATCAAGCGAGAAAGCACTGGAAGCAATTGCTTACCCGGCGTTTAAATTTTTATTTTCGCGGATATTTATTTGGTGGCGTTGTGGTCCGGCGTTCGTCGTGGTGGCCCACCTTTCGTCTTCAATGTCCCGTAT